GGGGGGGGGGTTTGCCGCTCTCGAATACGACACAGTTCGTGCTCTCTCGACAACAGGCGATTTTATTGCGCGAAACCTCGACCACTCCTCTTTTGCTTTCTTTGGCACGACTCAGCGAACCAACCGGCGCAAAGTTATTTGCGAAGAATGTATCCCGCCTCATCAAGCCCCGACACGAACCCCGGCGGCCGTCGTGGGGCCGTTTCGCTCAGTCGATTTGTTTTCGGCGCGTACGGCCCGAACGGTCGCCGCCGGATAAACGACACGTTTTCACTTTCGAGAGTTGCTTATTGTGCCTGGCAAATGATCCTGCATTGTCAAATCCAAACCGTTCGCATCTGGCGGCGGCAAAACACATCCAGTGATTCGTGCGTCGAAGGCAAAATGAAACGCAAGAGCGACCGCAAAGCACCGCCTCCCCCCCCCCACCAAAAAAAAAATCTCTCACTGTCAGCCAGTCAGACAGAGCGGCAGCTCTGCTCGACATCCTTGACCTCACGGCTTCATAGGAAAAACAAACGGCGATAGCCCCGCAGCTGGGAGTAATTGAGTCGTGATCATCTTAATTAATTGAACAATTTCCCAAGAATTTATGGATGGGGGGGGGAGGGTGTCGGGTCGGGGTGGGGGTGGGGGGTCCACCTCACCGCCACTAAACCCCCAAGACCTGGCGATTCTAGATCGGATTAAAAGTTCTGGAGGGTCGCTACTTTTGACAAAAAGAAAATCGGTCGAGGATAACACTCATCCCCCGCCCCCTGGACTGAACCTCGTTCGCCTCCCCACTCGCGTTTTTAAAAATAAAAAATTACATTTCATCCGCCGCAATAACGCCGATCCTCCGCTTGGCGTGAGGCGCGCGGCGCGAGGAACGCTTCCACGGCGAGTCCTGGTTTTCATTCCAGGCGCCGGCTGTCGCGAGAGCGCGTCGTCAGATGACTCCTCAAAACTTGGTTCTCCGTCCAATAGGAAATACCACAAACACACACACACACACACACAAACACACACCCACGCACAAAATCACAGACGGACAGTTTTAGCAACTAAGGTCTGAAAGCGCTCCCAGCACTGAAAGTTGCGGCCACACGTACAATTGAGAGGCTCTACGGTAGTAGTGTCCTTTTTTGGGAGGGGTGGGGGGGATTTCTGTGTCAAAAAGAGTCCTTCTCGAGGACGCAGATAACCCCCGAGAGAGAAACTGGAAAGACTGGTTCTCGCGAGCCTCCTTCCTTCAGCGGCCAGTCAAAAGGAACGTGAAAAGTGAGCTACAGGTGGTGAGTGGCGCTTTTGTTTAAGGCCCCCCCGGGGATGGGGGGGTGCGGCGTGTACAGAGCCCTTTGCAAATCTCCCAACAAAGGAGCTGCCTGTGCAAATTTATTGGTGACAAGGATCCTTTTTTTGGGCGGGAGATCAGGACACGACTTAAGACTTTCGAAATCTTAGCCGCCGGTTTGCATTCACGTGTCGTTACAGTACACTGAATTCCATCTCGCTATGCCGGCGCCGGTCCGCGGGTCTTTTCTTACCGGCCCGCCCAGAAAGAATAAATAACTTACATTACTTCCACTTGATTTATTTCCGGACTCTGAAAGGTGTTTTATTTTGAAAAGTTACCGGATCCTCTGTTACATCCGTCTACAGTGTGTCACTCAGGGGAAGGCGGAGCTTCTCGGTCTCGTGATAGGTTACCGCTAAAATGAAACCATGGAGCTACTCAAATGAGTAAAAAAAAACAAATTTATCTGGAAAGTTTCTTTGGGAAGGGGAAAAGGCCCAGCCAGGAGACAGAAAAGGACTCCGACTTTGAACTCATTCAGTACCAACCAAGTCTAGACCAAGTCTGACAAGACGTTTAAAAACATCTTTGGGAGTGAATGAGTTAAGAAAAATAGGGCTACATTTAAAAGACAGTATCCGAAGTCCGACCTAAAATGACTCTCAACGTGGGATTCCCGCGCACTCCGCATAACATGCGGCGATGGTGAGTCGTATTTTTCATGCGCTTTGTATTTGCGGCGTATCTTATTTTGACCGCTGCTGTAGGTCACCTGATTGAAATATTCCCGCAATTAATACGATCGACACCATATCCCGAATTAAAGCGGCATTATAAAATTGTCCTCACTTGCTTCAGGGCAGGGCGGGGGGGTTGGG